GGGAAACCTTTTTTCTGCCAAGGGCCATTTGGACACTTATAACATTTGTGGGTCATATAAAATTTTCAACTTAAAAATTAACCTGCTTATTTTGCTTAAACATTTAATTGACTCACCCCTAATGCCTTGGCATGGCCCTACCAAATGATTTCTTAGGCCTGACATTCCCCATCCCTATAGCCTCTAACAAAGGAAACAACTCTGGATTCTCTGGATTTTAAATCTTTTCCTAGGGAAAACAATCTGGTTGATTTTAAACCAGATTGCTGGAGATAATTCATTTTATAAATTTCTGCATTTGAACTTATTGGCTCTTCAATTTTAATTACCAGGCGTTTGGTTTTTTTTTTTTCCTTTTTAATTTTATATATATATATATATATATATATATATATATAAAATTATAATATATATATAAAATTATATATTATATATATATAATATATAATTTTTATTTATTTATTTATTTTTTTTTTAGAGAGAGTTAGAAGCATCCATCAGGTGCCTCCTGCACACCCCCTAATGGGGATGTGCCGAAAACCAAGGTACATACCCTTCACGAGAATTGAACCTGAGACCCTTCAGTCTGCAGGTTGATGCTCTATCCACTGCGCCAAACTGGTTAGGGCTCCTTTTTAATTTTTAAGAATGGGAATGAGTTAATTGCATTGAGATCAAAGCGAGCAGGGAAAGAAACGTCTGCTTTGTTTCCTAAATATTGTCACACTGTCCCCTAGAGAAAATGTGATATTATTCTACATTAAGGTGTTACCCTTTCTGGCGGTCTTTTTATTTAAAAAGAATGAAACCAGGCATTCCTTTTATTTTCATACCAAAAGTGAATGGATTAATCATAGTATGTTTGACTTCATGTAGGTATACAATACTATTGTAGATAGAAGGCTATTGTCAGTGCCTCCAGAGCCACATAAACAGTTTTCATGGTTATGTATACTGATAAGCAGGGAAATGTCCAAAGATGAAGAACAAAGCCTTGATATTTTGCAAACATCCTTATATATTATGATGTACTCTGAATTTTAAACTTAGAGGCATTGGATATGACTAACACTTTAGCGTTTAATTCTCACTCTACTATCCTGTTTCCCTGAAAATAAGACAGTGTCTTATATTAATTTTTTCTCCCAAAGTTGCGCTAGGTCTTATTTTCAGGGGATGTCTTATCTCCGGGGAAACACGGTAGCTAATTAATACCCATGCCCTGAAATACAATCTGAGTCTGTCTTTCCCCTTTTGTAAGATAAGGCATAAGAAAACCATTATTTGGTTACTATGAAGACTGAATAAGAACAACATATAAAATGGTTTTTGCAAATGCCTGAAAATAAGTTTTTGTTTTTTTTAAAGCAAGAACCAGTAACTTTATCCATGTGCTAAAGACATCACAAATCTTAGGCTCACTTTGGGATTTCAAAAGTCAAGAGAAGATGAGGCTGGACTTAACATTTGGTAAATAATGTAATTCAAATGTTCAGAATCCTGCATTCTCTGCAGTTGCCTGGCAGGTGAAGAGGAGTAAAAACTGGTAGCCTTCATGTTGCCCACCCAAGACAGTAGGTTTTAATCTTTTTAATAATGGGAGTTTTGCTTAATTTTGAGGTTTAGAAAACAACTTTCATGTCCAAATTATGTGTTTAGCCATTTATGGGGCAATTTTGAATATAGTCCTTGGGCATTACTTTTGGTTCAATGGAGATTTCTGGTAATAATTTTATATCTACTAGAGGTGAGCTTAAGTTGAGGTATGCTAATTTTGAAAAGGAAACAATTATTCTATTGGGTTCTATCTTTAATTTAGAATAACTCCAGTTGAACTTTCAGTGTTCCAGATTTTTTTTTTTTTCCAATTTGTGTAAAATTTACTTTCAAACATATTCTGAAATATTTTCCTTATCTTAAATCTGGGCTCAAGACTGTTTAACTTAGAATGTAAACCAGATGTATGCGTTCTCCATCTATCTTTTGTGCTTGTTGCTGGTACTAAGAAATGTTGAACTAAATGAAGTTTATGGTACATGCTGAACTTCAAAAACTTTAAAACTTGTTTTTGTAACTGCTAACCTACATAGTCTCAAGTCACTTACCTATTTTCTTGATCTCTTTGTAGGCTGACCAACTGACTGAAGAGCAGATTGCAGGTGAGAAATACTTTGCCTGATTGTACCCACTGGATTTTATTATAAACTTAAGAGCAATCCAAAATAAGATAGTTGTACGTAAGAATTGACTTTGCTCTATATAGTACATAGTAAATGGCTGTAATGTAGTACAGTAATTGAACCTGCTTTGGCAAGTGAAAAGGTAAACTTGCCTGAGAAAGATGTGTGGGGCTAACTGTAATTAAAGACGTGGTTTTAGGCTATTTTTAGACATATTTGGAGCCAGTGGTCTTTTGTTGTTGATTATCTTTAAAACATGAATTCTAAGCAGTTTTTAATACTTTAACTCCAAATCAAGTCTCTACTAGAGGGCAACGTCATGTAACCAATAGGAAATTTGAAATGTGGAATCAGAAGATGAACATTGAATTTATGTCATTGTGAAATAACTAATTTTAACCGTATTATAGAATTGCATATATAGTCAGGGAATAAACATTTTTTTCCAATGAAAAACCTAGATCTAAAGGTTAGCATTCTATTTTACACATGTAATTCTGTCTTAAAAAGTAGTGACAGCTAATATTTAAATGAGCTTCTTAAATCTTATCTTCTTTATGTTGTCTTTATGTAATACCATTAAACATTAGTATTTTTTATTTTATCCTAATACTTTGAGATGTCTGATTAAAATGTTTTGGAAACTTGCTAATGTTTTGCTTTTTTCATGCAATATTGAAATATCTCTCAAATTCTACTCCTTTACTTCACATTAGAGGGTTTTGTTAACACAAGCATCAAGCAGTTTTAACTGCTACAATTTTCCTGGTAGGCAAGGAGTTTGAAGTGCTCAGAAACACTGAAGTATTTAAAAAATATATATATTTTTATTGATTTCAGAGAGGGAGAAAGAGAGAGTAACATCAATTAATGAGGGCGAATTATTGATCAGCTGCCTCCTTCATGCCCCCATTGGGAATCAAGCCTGAAATCCCAGTATGTGCCCTGACTGGAAATCGAACCATCTTGGTTCAAAGGTCAACATTCAACCACTGAGCCACCCTGGCTGGGCTGAAGCATTTTTTAATACTAGAGAAAATTGAGAAACACAGCTAGAACTCAACTATATAGCCCATTTAAAGTAATCCCTTCCCACCCCTATAAATACAAATTTGGAGGAGCCAGACATCACTAATCTCAAATAGTCATCATGAATATTATTTGATAGGATTATATAAGATAGAAAGCTATTAGCATTAAGGATAAAATTTATGCATGTTTTATTTTTACTTGCCTTGTGAATTTGATTTAAACCTGGAATTTTTTTTTCTAGGATTGGTAAATTGCATGTTGGTTTATATTATTTTTAAATGTATCAATGAAATGTAAAATTACTCTGAAATAGTTTTTAATATATCCTTCAGGAACTGACCTCTGGGCTATCTGATATTTCCATTCTTAAACTCTTACATTCTCTGATACATCTGGCCTCCCTCTCTGCCCACTTAGGTAGTTGTGCCTATTGTACACAGCAAAAATGTTCCCTTAGAAAATGTGTTAGTCAAAGTGCCTGTCACAGAGTTGGTGCTCATTATTGCCTTCCCAAACACACTCTTTAAAGAAAAATTGTATCTGTGAGATATAAGAATCTTCAATGACTGTTACAACATTTTTATCAAGAACAGTTGTAGTTCATTGGAATATTGTCTTTAAGATAAATTCTGTCATTTCATTGACTTGAATCATACAATTAAATTTCAAGTGGGAATGGAGGAAAATATTGAAGATTCTCTCCCTATCCTGCCTTTTCCTAAGCTTTTAAAGGTGCTTCTCAAACCCCAGGTTTTAATAAAACTCTAAATTTTTAGGTTAGAGGAACCAAAGCTTTTATGCTGCTAATAAAAACCCTGTGAGAACAGTGACCTTTTTATTTTCTCTATATTCCCAATGATTTCCACATAGTAAGGACTGAGTAAATATTTCTTTAAGGAATAAGTTTTTTATTTTCAAAGAGGACTATGACACAAAAAGTGTTCTAGAACACTACCTACCCTATCATAAGAATTATTCTGCTTCCAAAAATCCCTTCCTAAATTTGGTATGTTTCAATGTCCATCTTTGAGGTAGGTAAACACAGATTTTGTCTTTATCTGGTAAATTATAATCACTGATGCATTATAACTATAAGGGTAAGAGAGTTGGTCACATCCACTTGGTGACTAGTAACATCCTAGCATCTAAGACCTAATTGTTGAATGTTAAGCTTTATACATGTAATGCAGCATTGAATATACTAAAGTACTTTTTAAAGCTATTTTATCTTTATGTGACAATCACTACTTCAGATTTATTTAGAGATTTTAATAGCAAGTAAAGAAAAAAAGCTTGCTTGTTGTTTAGGTGGTTACTATAATTGTTTACATTACCTAGTCTTAAAGAGCAATCTAGAATAGTCTTAGTATGATTTCACAAGTTAATTTTATTTGACTCTGCCATGATGTCATTAGTAGTTGACATTTAGAGGACTAATTAAAAAAATGTAACAAGAATTTTTTTTTTTTTAAAGAAATTTGTGCCTAAACTGTCATTGAACTTTCAGTCTCAAGGTCCAGTGTAGGGATAAAACTTGGTTGATGAAATGTATTAACTGTACTGTTTAAAACAAAAATTACAGAGTGCCAACAAATGTCTCATATATGATCTTTAAAAAGGGATTAAACTAAATATATAAAAGTTAGTAGGCATACAGCGGGGAGGGGAGGAGGATCTGGGGGAGATAATAGATCAACCGAAGGACTTCTATACATGCATATAAGTACAACCAATGGACATAAAACTCTGGGGAGGGAGGGAGGGGGGCAAAAAAAAATCAATAAAATATGTTTTAAAAAATTAATTAATTAATTAAAAAAAGTTAGTAGGCATTTGATTTTTCTTTAGTTGTAATTGTTTATTGATAACCTGTTTTAATAAAATTATAAACTTATATAATATAAATAATTGGAAAAGGGTCTGGGATTGCTGATGAACATATAAAATGTAAATAAGTTTCCTGAAATTTTCAACTTAGGCATAAGTAGAATGGATTTAGAGGAAGGTCCTGTCATTGTGTTAAAGATCCTATTCTGTGTGACATTAAGGACCTGTTTTCTTATTGTGTATTTAGTACTGGGTTTATATTTGAAATTATTCCTGAGAATTACTGTTTAAAACAGGGTTCGGCAAACTATGGCTCATGAGCCACATGCGCTCTTTGGCCTCTTGAAGTTTTAGCAAAGGCCAGCTTAGGAGTACCCTAATTAAGTTAATAACAATGTACCTACCTATATAGTTTAAGTTTAAAAAATTTGGCTCTCAAAAGAAATGTCAATTGTCCTACTGTTCATTTGGCTCGGTTGACTAATGAGTTTGCCGACCACTGGTTTAGAAGGACATGCTTCTGTGCATGAAGATTATGCTAGTTTTGAAGTACAGGTAGTGAGCTATACAGGCAGATGAATTTAAATGGTACTTTGAGTTTATTATTTCAAGGAATTTTTATAGGTATATCTGGCTCTTTAAGAGTTATTAGATTTTAAAACTTATTGAAACTTAGAATACACACATATAAATTAACACTATGCATCTTCTAGAATTTGGCTTTAAGTTAAATCATAACCTATTGTATATAATAAAACCCTAATATGCAAATTGACTTGATGGTGGAAAGACTGGTCACTATGATATGCATTGACCACCGGGGGGCAGATGCTCAATGCAGTGCTGCTCCCATGGCTGTACCTCTCGGGGGATGCCCGACTGCTAGCTTAGGCCGCTCCCCCAAGGGTCCCCAACTGTGAGAGGGTGCAGGCTGGACTGAGGAACTGCCTCCCCAATGCATGAATGTTGTGCACCGGGCTGCTAGTAGTAAAATAATAATAGATACACATTGTGAATTTCGCACATAATGGTGGTGTTAAATGATGCCTGCAGCTAAGTGTTACAGTAGAGAATGTAGTATAAACAAATACAATTCTCCAAGTCCTTTAATTTTCTTGTAGCCTAAGTTATTAGGTGATAGATGCAATGTGTTCAAACCCTAGTAATGGTTTGCATATTTCTAGACATTATTTCTATATCCTGTTTTTAAAAAACAAAAAACAAAAAAAAAACCCTTAGAAATGTTTTAATCAAATTCTGCTATTTGTGGGGTTTATTGATCTATTTTTGTCATTGGATTGATCTATATTACTATTGTATACTATTTTCATAACATCAATGAGTAATTTGGTATTAGATGATTTCCTCTGAAAACAAGTATGATTTAAACAAATGGAACTCTGTTACAATGCAGCAAACCACAACTAGTCAGTGATATCTGATTTAAACTAAGCAATTGAAAGATTTTAAGCGGAATAAGCTGAAGCAAGTAATATGGTAATCAAAAAAGGCAAATAGGCTCTGGCCAGTGGTTAGAGTGTCGGCTGAAGGACCAAAGGATCTCGGGTTCTATTCCTAGTCAAGGGCACATACCTGGGTTGCAGGTATAAAGAAACCAGGTAGGCTATCATAATTGTCCAGGCAAAAGGTGATGGTGCCATTATTGGTTGTAATGATGAAAAAATAATCTATTATTTAAACAGCAGATTTCAACAGGAGTTGTTGACAGATTTTTAGGGGAAGAGTTTTCTTGCTTTAAGTCAGCCAGAGGAGATGTCTGTCCTGTAGGAAGTCAAGAAATAAAGGATATTGTGTTATTGAGAGAGATGCAAAGGCCAGCTTAGGAGTAGTACCCTAATTAAGTTAATAACAATGTACCTACCTATATAGTTTAAGTTTAAAAAATTTGGCTCTAAGACATGAATGCATCATCATAAGTGGGCATAGATGAAATGGGCAAGGAGTGAAGAAAGGGTAAGAGAGTTGATCACATCTACTTACAAGAAACAAGGAACCAAAAGCCTTTGACATTAGAAGGTAGGATATAAATTAAAGTACTATTATGGAGAAGTTTGAGGGGGTTTTGTGTAATTTTGGATACTGCAGGAAAATGACATCATCATTCTCTTAATATTCATTAAGTTCTTACTTGCCAGACATAGTTTTGAGTGCTTTACATGTAGTGATTATGTTCTTAAAATAAGGAATTAGATACAGTTATCCCTATTTAAAAAAAATGAGCAACCTGAGGCAGAATAAGGGTCTAGTAACTTAATTTGCTAGAGGTTACATTTCTAGTAAGTAACAGAGCTGGGATTTTTAACCTAGGCAGTTGAGTTTCAAAGTCTGATTTGGCATTTCTATGCTTTATGGCCTCACATACTGACTGACACATGCTCGCTGGATTAGGCACTTCAGTCGTTCTTGGTTAACCTAGTATTTTCAGCTGATGAGCTGGAGCCGGTAGCAATTGTAATAGTTGATTGATAGAGAAGAAATGGATATGAGTAGTGGTGCCTTCCAGAATTTGGGGAGAGGTAAGGATAGAGACAAAAAAAAAAAAAAAAAATATATATATATATATATATATATATATATACACACACACACACACACACACACACACACACACACACACACACAAAATCACACTAAGGTTTGAATTTAGTTTTAGGCAAAGACATAAAGATAGATAAATTAATGGCAAAATCAGTAGAATGGAAGAGATTGTGATAAATGAAACTTGGAGGTGTGTGGACTGGAGCAAGGATAGACAGGGGATAAATAGACTTGTCCTGTAAGAGGAGGCACACAATTTCTTAAATATGTATCAGGTATATATTTTCAAATGTTCTAGATATGTTTGGAGAGCATATGGCCCCTTGAACTTAGAAACTGCTTTTGTATTTGATTGAAAAAGGAAGTAGCTTACTTGAAAAGTACTAGGTTTTGCTAGCTCAATTATATGACCTTGCACTGTCAGACTTAATCTCTGCTTTAGTTTCTCTGTAAAATAAATGGTAAACCAGGTATTGTGGACTGTCACTCAGATTAGTTTCCCATGTAATCTGCTGGTGAAATAAAAGTAATGCCATTTTGTAAGATCTTAGTTTTAGGCAATAATATATTTCACTCTAAGTTTGGAGTTATATAATCTAAAGGAAGGTCTAAAATATCTTTGTTCTCAGTAATAGCTAAACCTGGCCATTCATATTTTGATCATCCCGTTAACATCAATATAAACGATTTGGTGATAGACTCTTCTGTCTAACAGAAAAGATAACTTAGTCTATTAGCATATTCTGAATAACGTGGTTTTTTTTTAAATTTAGAATTGTGTTCTACAGTGCAGCTTTAACAGAAAATAGGGAAGCCAGTCATTTGGGGTTTTGATTCTTTTCCTTTTTAAACATAGAATAATAAGGGTCTAGATATTGCAGTACCCTGTAAGATTTTAGATGAAAAAAAATTCCTGGTAGATCAATATGAGCATATACTGGTATGATTATCTAAAGATGTTTAAAATGCCAGAAGTGGCTTTCCCATCTAAAACCTTCAGAAATGAAAATTCCATGTCAGGTGCTATCTTCATATATAGCTTTAAGAGTTGATTAATACATTTCATTTAGGAGGTTATTCTTTGTGTTAACCTGTACATTTGGATTGTGGTCTCTCAAACAGAATTCAAAGAAGCATTTTCACTATTTGACAAGGATGGTGATGGAACTATAACAACAAAGGAATTGGGAACTGTAATGAGGTCTCTTGGGCAGAATCCCACAGAAGCAGAGTTACAGGACATGATAAATGAAGTGGATGCTGATGGTAAGTCTGTAATTTTTGGGCTGGGGGGTGGTTTGAAGTGACATTTTAATTCTATGATGATGATTCAACAAAACAAACCATTTCAGGTAATGGCACAATCGACTTCCCAGAATTTCTGACAATGATGGCAAGAAAAATGAAAGACACAGACAGTGAAGAAGAAATTCGAGAAGCATTCCGCGTGTTTGATAAGGTAGGTTTTCAGGGGCTGGATTTCTTAATTTTAATTTGAGGATGAAATGAAGATAACTTCAGTATAAACTCCGATTTCCTAGTAATATGATTGCATAATTCTTGTGGCAAAGCTGGTATCACTTGGTTTTGACATAGTGCTTGGATCTCAGTGATGTTTAATTTATAGGTCAGTTGTTAGTAGATTCTTTTTACTTTGGGTGGATTTCTAAAGTATGTTTTTCTAATGTGAAATTTAGTAAACTTTGATTCCAACTTTATGATCTTAAGTATTTTAATGACTTTTCTAGGATGGCAATGGCTATATTAGTGCAGCAGAGCTTCGCCATGTGATGACAAACCTTGGGGAGAAGTTAACAGATGAAGAGGTTGATGAAATGATCAGGGAAGCAGATATTGATGGTGATGGTCAAGTAAACTATGAAGGTAAGTCTCACTGTCACCCGTCTCATTCTCTGATTTGACCTTACATTTAGAGGTAGTAGGTAATCTGATAGGTCAAAATTACTAATTTCCTTACCCTATGAAGATGTTAAAACTATATTTTCTAACCTTTTGGTATTTAGAATGTGTGTACAGACTAGGCAACACTTCCTGTTACCTGAGAACATTTTAGAGCTATTTATTAGGCCCTACCCCTATACTTGGGACCTGCGATTTAACAGGATTCCTGGTGGTTGATTTTATATGCACATTCAAGTTTGAGAATTCTATGCTAAACTGTGCTAAAACAATTTTTGTATAATGTTTGTGAAACAATTAGAAAAGCTTCAAACTTAAGTTCAGGATCCTCAACATGAAATTAAGGTGACTTTCTTTTCTTTGATTCCCTTCTTCTACTTAACAGATTTAGTCTGAAACTGGTTTACATATACTTCAAATTAAGAAGTATCATTTGTAATACTAAACTAAGCAAGAATACTTTTTTATAATAGCTATCTAAAGCATTAATTTGGTTTGTTAATAATTTTGGTTTATGAAGTTCCAGCTTTGGCAGTTAGCTTTTCTCAGTACTTTATAATTTTGAGGAAAGAAAGGGGAATAGAGATTGCTCAGTGATTGAGTAAATGTGATTGATTTTGTTGATCTTTTGCCACTGACTGGCTCAACTTTTTGTGTATTTCTTCTTTTTCAGAGTTTGTACAAATGATGACAGCAAAGTGAAGATATTGTACAGAATGTGTTAAATTTCTTGTACAAAATTGTTTATTTGCCTTTTCTTTGTTTGTAACTTATCTGTAAAAGGTTTCCCCTACTGTCAAAAAAAAATATGCATGTATAGTAATTAGGACTTCATTCCTCCATGTTTTCTTCCCTTATCTTACTGTTATTGTCCTGAAACCTTATTTTAGAAAATTGATCAAGTAACATGTTGCATGTGGCTTACTCTGGATATATCTAAGCCCTTCTGCACATCTAAACTTAGATGGAGTTGGTCAAATGAGGGAACATCTGGTTATGCCTTTTTTTAAGTAGTTTTCTTTAGGAACTGTCAGCATGTTGTTGTTGAAGTGTGGAGTTGTAACTCTGCGTGGACTATGGACAGTCAACAATATGTACTTAAAAGTTGCACTATTGCAAAACGGGTGTATTATCCAGGTACTCGTACACTATTTTTTTGTACTGCTGGTCCTGTACCAGAAACATTTTCTTTTATTGTTACTTGCTTTTTAAACTTTGTTTAGCCACTTAAAGAAAATCTGCTTATGGCACAATTTGCCTCAAATCCATTCCAAGTTGTATATTTGTTTTCCAATAAAAAAAAATTTTACCCAACTGTTGCTCTGAATCTGAGTCATTTAATTAACTTTGGGTTTAATAATTTTGAGAATCAAATTAAGAACACAATCTAAATCTGGGAGGGGGTGTTAAGTTTTAATCTCTATTTCCTAATGTTTTACTCATTGTGTTTTTAAAATATATTTTATTAATTTCAGGGAGGAAAAGAAGGAGAGAGAGCTAGAAACATTGATGATGGAATAATTGATTAGCTGCCTTCTGCACGTGCTCCACCGGGGACTGAGCCCACAACCTGGGCATGTACCCGGACTGGGAATTGAACTCTGACCTCCTGGTTCATAGATTCACACTCAAGTATGATGATTAGCTCATTCGGGCCAAGGCTAATTTTAAACCTTACTTTCAAATTTTTACCATATTACCTATTCTTTATTAGCAGGGTTGTGGTAATTGATAATTATTTTCTCAGTACAATCTGTAGCATGTTTGCTCTCATAACAAAACCATCAACTATTGTAGTTAAAATTGATCCTGGAATGTAATTTTAAAGATCTGATGCATAGCAAAAGCTTACCAAGCTCTACTTAGTGCTGTATCATCAAAGAAAAATGCTTGTTATGATCACTTTTAAACTTTTCCCAGTGGTATTATGTAACACAATGTTTTCTTAGGACATTTTGTTTATCCTATATGCTTAATCTATTTTATTGGTGAAGTCCTTG